AGATCCTGTTCCTGGGGAAGAGACAAGTTCTGCATTTCCACTTCAACTACTGAGCCGATTCAGCCTGTTGAATGAGTAACCTCACAGGTCTGCCTGTATGTGATCCACTGGTTTAGGATTGTCTATCAGCCAGTTACTATCACAGATCCCAATGTGGGAATTGAGAGCTGGGATTTACAGTGTCCTGGAGCCAGACCATGAACACATGCCACATGTGGCCACCCTGTCCCCTTCTATGGAAGGTGGTATGTGTTAACTCTTTCAACAAATATATGAGGTATAGCACTGCCAAGAAATGGGACCCTAATTGCCCTGTTCTTTTAAGAAAGAATGCATTTGTAAAAATAAAATCATCTCAATTCAATCAAATTACAGCTAATCATCATTGTCTTCCAGCCAAGTTCTATTAGCTCTGAATTTGATTTAGCTCAGTTACTGAAGTATGCTAGAAATGGCTGTAATTTTTGGAAAACAAATTATTATTGCCTTTTACTACTTAGTAGTCCAAAGGATTTCAAAACAAGATTAATGGGGACAACTTTCTTTCTTCCATCTGTAGCTTTCCAAGACTAACAACGTTTCTTTTGTTTTGCAATCATAGCTACCTGGCAGCTTTGGGTCACTGGGCTGTCTTCAAGGCATCATTGCATTCACTCACACATGCAATTAACTTTTATAGCTAAAATATATTTCTGCTTCTTTTTTCTTTTCCCCTGGTGCCATCAAAATACTCATTTGGACCAAGACACATGCCCTAGAACAAAGACAAATACATACCAAACTATCACATGTGCTTTCTCAAGCTCCAAGGGCTGAGGATCATTCCAGTGTGCAAGAAGGTGGTCAACTTTTTGTGCTTCCAGGATCACTTCAGTGTAAATAGACCCTAAAGCACATGGTGTTTCCCTTTACAGCAGCTCAATTTAATGCAAGAAACCTCTGGAATAAGCTAGCTTTTTGATGGAGAAAGCAGAGCTGTAATTTACATTTTGTTCTGGTTTCCTTCTTATCACCAGTGCTGTCAGAAGCCTCTTGATTCATTATTGAGACAATGGAAATACTGAAACACTGAGACAACCACATGGGTAAATGCAACACTACTGACCCACTATCCCAGGACACTGTGGGTGTCCCAGGAGATTAATTGCTGCAGGGAAACACAGTCTTGGTGATGGGTAGCTTTAAGTACACAGAAGTTTGTGACCAGGCGCCCACATTATTTAGCAGGGTGTGAATGAAGAGAGCAGAGCAGAGTGGAGCAGGTTTTGTGGGCAAGTCAGCAGATACAACTTTATGGCAATCAGATTTTTGAAACAACCTCAAATTACCCATTGCAAACATGTCTTAAACGGTGCTGGTGACCCTGCACATAGCTTGACACATTGAGGGAAGTGCAAAGTTGCCTCTAAAATTTTACTCCCTGAAATGGGAGCCAAAATCCTGAAACCTCTCCTATGTGTAATGCTAGAAATAACAAAGCAGCAGTAAGACCCAGGGTCAAAGCTTGTGGCAGAGCCAGCTATGTACCAGTGAGACCAGAGATCTGCGTCAGATCCTTGTCCATAACCTCAACCCTAGCCCACCTGATTGGCTGCAACGCAACTCTAAATCGCACACTGAAAATGCAGACTGTGCCAGAGGCTGAGTAAGCAATACGTGTTTCCAGAGCAGCTTGGCAGTTTTGCCAGCCTCCCTAGTGGCTCTTTGCTGGGACCCAGACTGCACATAGGCAGGACCTGAGCACACTGCCCAGTGCCCCAACCAGCCAGCACAGACCAAAGGTGACTCTGGAGCACCTGCAGTCAACCTACAATGCTGCAGTAGTGTAAGACACAAAGAATAATTTCAAAAAGAGGCTAAGAAAAGGATCCTGTAGAAATTTTGCGCAGTCTCCTTACTGGAAATCATTTTGACGTAGTGAACAACCATGGAGACTTTTCCAGGAAATGTGTTTCTTTATTTAAATAAAATTAGTGCCAGTAGAAACAATAAACTTTAAATACATGAGACAATTATATACAACTCAATGTAAGGAATTATATACATCAGGTTTTTTTACAGATGCAAATACATTTATACCAAAAGTAAAGGACGAAGGAGAAAGCAATGGAAAATGTGACAACTCACGCATGTCAGTCTCATTTGGAAAGTTTCAGGATTCAAGTGATTCCAGGCAAAGTGCCAAACTTAATTTGGCTTCTTTCAGACTTAAAACAGCCCCTTTTTGGAGTAAATCTACCAAAAAGCTTTATATGGTCTGATCCAAAGTTCACTGAAGTCGATGGAAAAACTCCCACTGCCTTCAGTCTGCCCTGAATCAGGCCCTTTCTGAGCACAAAGAGCTTTTGTTCTGCTGTGGTTGGAGAGACAGCGATCCTGGATCCCTGGGCAGCCTCCAGCCCATTAACCCTCCGAACCCAGAGCAGGCTTCACCCTTCCCAACAGCAGGAGCACAGCAGACTCTGCCCTCAGTTTGTTTCTGCTGTCCTGCATTCATGTTTTTCAAGCTGTCTCTCCAGCTTTAATGCCAGTGGATAAATCACGGAGCTATTTTAGTGCAGGAAATACATGGAGACCTTTAGCAAATATTTTGCTGTGCAACGCTTTAGATTTAGGATCTTCAGCCCCTCGTGCTTCAAAACGAATTGAAACACTGCAATAATTATATTATTCTATAATATAAGGTATGACTGAAATGTTAATTTTTTTTAACTTTTGTTAGGTTTTTTACTTCAGTTAAAAGTGCAATAATTTAGGAACAAATTTCATGAGCCTCTGAAAAAAAGTCACAGTACCATTAAATCAAGGGAAGGGGGAAGTTTGTGGTGGTCTTAAAAACTAGTTGCTGATAGCTTTGTAGAAATGCATGTGGCACATGCGAGCTGAAAAACAGATGTAATGCAATGTTTATCTACACTGGCTTAAATAGAGCAGAAATCTAGATTCTCTAACGATGTGAAAAGGTACAGTTGCACTGACCTCAAATGGAGAATTTAACTCCAATAGAGAAGCACAAAACCTTGTGCCTGTCCCTGACTCAGCTGATGACTTCAGTGGGGCCAGGATTTCACCCTTGCTAGGTTAAATTGTATTTGGAATTCCACCTATTTTTCAAGGGGGCGTAACGGAGCAGCATTTGTTCAAGCCTTTCTATGTCTTACACCCAGTAACGAAGATAGTTTAACATCTTTAACTTACAGATCTTTGCCTTTAGTGACCAAACATACAGATCTTAAAAGAAAATACAAATGCAAAGAAACAAAACTGCTTTTCCTACTAGTAACTCAGTCACGAGCTGGATTGCAGCAGAAGGTAGTGAACCTGACCTAGCCAGTACACACATAACTTAAGCAAAGACAGATACAGTGGCACGGTTCTGAAATTGGGTTTTACAAACTGCCTAGGAGTTTGGTGCCTTTTGTTTGCTCACGTGTCTTTCATTCTTTCTGTGCCTAAAGTCAACCTCCACCCATGCCGCACCATGCTGCAATCTCCCTTCAAATAGAGAATCAACAAATTTTCAGCTTTTGAGGCCTCATTGAGCAAATTTGCTGTTGGCTGTGGTTTGTCATAAGAAAACCACAACAAAAGTACTTCTAGTCTATCACAGTTTTGTGTGAATGAGCATAACCCCATCATCTTTAACAGCCAGGCGCTTGTGTTAGGGTAACTTCCCTAAACACTTCCCAGATATTTACAGAGTTCTGAAATATGCAGAGACATGCCAGTATTAATTACCTCATTAGAAAACAGACATATATATTCTCCTTGTTCTTAGCTCTCATAGTAAGAAATAATTATGAAAAAATTGAAATTAAGCAATCCAATTATGTGCAAGTTACACTCTGGAGTTGGGTACCACTGCTTCCTTGTCCTGCCAGCTCTCAGGAATG